CCGGCGTGACCGGGATGAGACAGCCGCGTGTCTGATTTTCCCGCAGGCACTTAGGAAACGAAGGCGCTTCGGCAGAGCCACAGGAGGGGAACTCAGTGTTTGATGCCCAGTCCGTGCTTTATTTTCTTGCATCGCTGTTAAAACACAGATTTAATTAAATTCATTTGAACGCAGCACCCCAGGGAGGATTTTCCTGACTTTCCTTTTTTTTTCTTTTAATGAGGTTTTGCCTTAGGGCACGTACAATTGCTAGGGGGGCAGGAGGGAGAGAAGAAGCACCCCCCAGGGGAACTGCCGAGGCAGTCCCTTCTTCCCCATTCTGCTCAAGGAATTTGGGGCATGCACATGCGCTCAGCGTGTTTTCAAGCTGCCAGGTCTGAGACTTGAACTGTAAAATCGACCATATGAGATCTAGCACCTTAACCTCCCTGCCACGTGCTGTCCCCAGAGCCCTAAGAGTTTGAACAATCAGCTGTTCAAGTACAAAAGTCTGTTAGATGATAGAGACAGCCCTGCTGTCATTGAGAGGTGTGTATGACTCCTCGTATTTGGGGACCGGGTTCACAGGCATCAGTTTCCAAGCCCACTACTAATCTAAAGCCTGACCATACTTCTGTCTTGGGGTCCTGGAGCTGCAGTGTACATTACCGGCCTCCAAGACAATAATGGCTGCCCTTGTTCCCTTTTCCAAGCTACTCCTCTGATTTCTGTCCTAGTGGCCAGACACCCCACTATGTAAAAGGAGGCTACCTAGGGTTATGTGGAAAACTCTGAAGCTATCTTCTTGAATTAGAATCTCCACTCTGCTCATTTGAAGGACCTTGGTTCAATTACTTGACCACTCTGTCCTTTCATTTCTCATCTATAAAGTGAAAATACAGAGACCAGCAGATGGCATCATAGTTACATCGCTGGACTCTAGTCTACCGCAGCCCAAGTCCCAGACCCAGTGGCTTAAAACACCCACTGGGCACATGTGCCCTGATGCCCAAGAGCCTGAAAGGAGAATGGAGGAGAAAGGATGGCATGGCCATCTACTTGGGGGATGATTTCTCACTTTTGCCTCTCTGTCTCTCCAGCGAGTGCCCTATAGCAAAAATTTCTCAGAAAAAGAGAAGATATTAATAATACATTGTAAATTGTCGTGAAAATTCATGAATATATGTGATGCACTTAGAATGGTACCTCTCATAGAAGTGCCCGAGAAATACTAGCCATTATTATTTCAGAAGTGCAGGCTGGAGGAAATTGTGTTGATAGCTATTATATGTGTTAAGAAGATGCTAACCTGCATCCTTCCGTTGTAAATAAAATGATGATTATGAATTCTCCAGAAAATTTATTAATAATACAGTGTTACAATTCATTCAACATTTTTTTCAGTCCCCACCATATATCAGGAAGGATATCTGATATATGGGGCAGACATGGAAATAGGAAGTCTTGGGGTTTTCTCTTCCCTGTCCTTATCTGTAGGGGAGCGCTACAGATTCCTGTCAGTAAATCAATTGGTACTTAGGAAACATACTTATGACCAAGGAAATTTTGTTCCTGACACAGTACATTATAGGTGTTGACACATCTTTCTCTCTAGATTTTTTTTTTTAATTTTGTTTTCTTTTTTAATTGCCAGCGTGCACATGTGCTTGCCAGGCAGGCGGAGAGGAAGAAACCACTCTTCACTGGGGTGTGGTCACACCACAATCCCTTCCCCTCCATTTCTCCATCCTGTTGCGAATTTGGGCATGCACATGCATGTGCCTGGTATGTTTTTCAAGCCACCAGGGCTGAAATTCAAACTACATCCACGTGGGATCCGGCTCCCTTAACCAGCCATTGCGACCAGCCCTTTTCATTTCTTAATGGAGCCATCAGTCTTGATTGTAACAGGAAAGAATAGCTGTGAACTGGTGTTCTCTAGCCTAGGAGGGCAGGATCAATTACCTCTGATTCCTGTGAGCTATCTGGGTATAGGAAGCATATTAGGGTGAGTAAAGTAGTTACATCTGTTCCGTTTTACTTCGCTCCTCTGTTCATGCTTCCTCATCTGTAAGATCAGGTGTTTAGTAGCACCTACTCCGAATGTGTTTGTACATATAAAGCATTTAGAACACCTCCTGATATTTCATGTAAATGCTGGCTATTGTTATTGTTTCAGGTGGGACACACTAAATATGAGTCTGTCCAGGGCAAGCTGAATTCAGATCTCAACCGGTCAGTTCTCAAGGTTTAAACCTTGAGGCCTCTCCTTGCCTTTTCTGTTTCATGAGTTTAAGCCCCTTTGGAAAAGGCTTGCTGATTCCTTTTCACCACGTGCTCCCCCCCCCATAACTTGGATTGTTCTGCTTTATGCCCTTGTAGAGCCCTGTTCTGTCCTGTTTTTAAACTTACATTTATTATTATTGCTTAGTTAACTGCATTTCTTCCTTTTGCTTTATAAACTGCATGAAGGATGAGCCTCCAGACTCTTAGTCGCCCTTGTACTCAGTTCTAGCACAGCCCTGGCACAGAGCATGTGCTTCCTAAGTATTTGTAAACAAATAAAGCTTAAATTTAATGAGATTTAGCCATGCTTATTGGGGCTTTAGTCATTCGATTGTTTTTGTGCTGGATCTCATTTTTCTTTAATCCCAAATTCCTTTTCTTTAATCTAGCTAAATGCAAGAAAAGCTCAGAGTTATCTAATAGCACCATATTCAAACCTTGGTTGAAAGACTTCTTTGGAAGTAGAATATCTGTTAAAATTTAGGTATGAAGTCTTCTGTTCATGTAATCTACTTGTTTTTACTTTAATTCATCTATTAGGTCACTGGGAAAGTCATGATGTAATTTTCTATGTGTTTCTGAGCAAAAATGTGTCTTGAGTTTCCCT